ACTGCAGGAGTGAGATGCCTGTAGCTACAGTCTCTTTTTAGTTAATTGAGGTTGGAGCCAAAAGTCTTCAGCTGTGGCCTTGTCTTGTCCTTTGAGGCCTCATGGCTTTACCCACCTTTACAGGTCTCAGTAGGAACTGGTAACTCACAAATAAACATGGAAAGCCAGTTGGTTAATATTAAATTCTGCTCAGAGCTGCTACATAGTGGTCTCTATCAAGTCAAGAATATACCCAAAGAAACAAAGAGCACTTTTAAGGTAATTATGCAAGTATGAAAGACTGCATAAATGCATATTTCTTTTCTTCACTGATCTTAAAGGGGATTTATGCAACACTATGCAGGAATGTAATTGTTATTGTGCCATCTGTAACATAGAAATGCAGTATCTTTGTCAATAGTAACACAAAGAAGGGAGGAGGAGTAAGGTTGTATTTGATTAAACAAATGACATCAGATCGTAATGTAGGAAATATATTATTTACTTTCTTAACTTTTATAAAAGGAATAGACTTATATGAGGTAATAATTACATTTTATACCATGTTTTATAGGTTTGTAACATGTGTAGATAAATATACTAACAGTAGCATATAAGAAGGAATAGAACTCAAAGATTAATGTTTCTATATCTCACTGAAATTAAGTTAGTATCTTTCTAAAGTTGATTGTGATATCTGAAGGTCCTGCAGCAACCAACAAGACAACTAGAAGAAACATTGTGAAAGATACATTGAAGGAATTAAAATGTCACACTTAAAAATATTCACTTAATGCCAAACAAGTAAATAATGACAGACTAGAAGAATAAACAGTAGTAAAGGATATAGGAAACCAAAAGGAAAATGATAGATATAATACAAATATATCAATAACATTAAATATTACATGATTGAATAATCAAATCAAAAGACATGGATTACGAGACTAAATGTTTTAAAAATTCAGATTTATGTTTATGGTATGTCAGAGACATACTTTAGTTTCAAAGATACAAATAAATTGAAAGTAGGATAGAAAAAGATTGTGCAAACAGGGCTGGAGATATAGCTCAGTGGTAGACTGCTTACCTAGAATGCATCACACCCTGGGCTTAATCTCCAGTACCATAAATAAATAAATTTTTAAAAATCATGCAAATATTTAGTAACCAATATTAGACAAAATAGTCTTTAAAGAAAAAATTGTTGCTAGAAATAGAGGGGCATTTTAGTAACAATTATATAGTAACAATTATAAACATATATGCACCTTACAAGACTTAGAAAATATACAAAGCAATACCTGATAGAATCAAAAGGAACAAAAAAATTGAACAATTGATTGAAATTGGAATGCACTACTTGTAACAATGGATAAAATACTAGGCAGAAGAGCAAAAAGGAAATAGAAAACAAAGAATTCCACTTCTAAGACCTCCATTTTGAAGTCTACAAAACATTAGAAGAAAATTTTTTGCATGTCATTTAACTAGAGGGGAATACAATAATTAAGGATTGGAAGACTCAATTTGTAAAAGGTGTTTATCATATATATATAGAGAGAGAGAGAGAGCAAGAGAGAGACAGAGACAGAGAGAGAATAATCCAAAACTCTGGCATATCTTTTACAGAAATTGATAAAGTGATTTTAAAATTTATATGGAAATGCAAAGGATCCAGTAATTTAAAAAACATTTGGAATAGAAGAAAAAAGTTTGAGTATTTCTCTACCTGATTTTAAGAGATGCTGTAAAACTACAGTAGCTGTGATAATGTGCTAATAAAAAATTAATAACCAATGATTAGAGAATACAGAGTCCAGAAAGAGACCCATTGTTTTATGGAATCCATAAAAACAATTAAAAAATCTCTTGCAATAAATAATCATTTAACAAATGGGCAATCATTTGAGGGGGAAAATGGACCTTAATCTCTTCCTCATGCTATAATCAAACATTACCTTGGCATATATGATAGACCTAAAAATAAAAGCTAAAAATTAGAAAGATTCTAGAGGACAACATAGAATAACATTTTCATGATCAGGAGGTTGACAATGATTACTTTGCAATAAAAAGGAAATCGCAATGAAAGGAAAAATGGTAAATTGTCCTTCAAGTAAATTAAATTTTTTATCATCAAAAGATACCATTAAAAAAAGAAAAATCACATGGTCAAAATATTAATGTCTATTTCTGATAAAGGACTCCTACCTAAAATGTATTTTAAAATTCCTACAACTATGTAACAAAAACTTAAGTTATCCAACAGCAACAAAAATTAGCCAAAGCCTTGAATAGCAACATCATAAAGAAAGACATCTGAATAGCCAATAAGCATATAAAAGATTTTAACTGTAAATTGAACCAGAGAAATTTTAAAATCATAGGAAGATACCATAACTGGAAGAACTAAGATTTTTTAAATGGGTAGTACTGAATATCGATGAGAATATCCAGCAGCCAGAACTCTCATAACTTACTAATGAGAATGCAAAATGTACAGCCCATCAGACTAAAGTGGAAAAATTAGATACATTTCACAGCAAAACAAAAACAAATAAACAATAAAAAAACAAGCCAAGTGTGGTATCCCATGGCTGTAAATCCCAGCACTCTGGGAGGCAGAGGTGGGAGGATTGCAAGTTTCAACCTAGTCTGGACAATTTAGCAATTTAACAAGATGCTATCTCAAAAATAAATAAATAAATAAAAATAGGCTAGGGATTAGGGATGTAGCTCAGTGTGATGGACCTAAATTCAATGACCAGTTCTGTTAAAAAGAAGCCAAAGACTTTTTCACACAATTACTACAGCATAAAGACTAAAAGACACCTAAATGTTTTGTAATGTAGGAATGTTAAGTAGGAAGTCTGGTATGTCCTTATAATGATTAGATGATATATTCGTGGCAGGGGAAGTTATTTTTAAGATAACACTGTATGGAAAAATATAAATATTATACTTTTTTGAATTAAAAATCATCCTGAAAGGAAGAAAATAATCCCAAACTAGGATGAAATGATGTAATTTTTAAAAATCTCCCCTTTCACTTTTCTATTAATAAGTTTTACAGGGACAAAGATTACTTCTATAGTCAGAACAAACAAGCATTTTTAAATATTGTTTTGAACAATTATATAGTATTGAATGGTGATTAAGTGAAATATTTACTATATGGTTTGGACACATTTTAAATTGTCCAATGGAAATAGTTTTGCTGTTATTAAGTTTGTTGAACAGAAAAGCGGTGAATTCAGAAGGAGCTAGGGAAAATAACCAAATTCAACCGACAGTAGAAATAGAAAATGTTACATTTTCTAGATAAATGAAACTTAGCGCTTTAACCACAAAAATTCTATTTTAAATTTTTGGCCAACTCTAGTATATACTTTATTTTGTACCACATCTATTAAATATGTTATGGTGACAAAATATAAACGCTCCTACCTCTTGGTTATATAATCTTGGGGAGTTTATATAATAGCCCCTACCTCTGTTTTCCAGTCCATACAATGGATATAATAATATGGCTTCTCTCATACAGTAGTATTGCTAGATGTGAAAGAGATAGTTACTGTTACAACACAGAACATGTGGGACATTAGGCATTCAATAATTTGATAAACCAACTCCATAATGATATTGTCAAATTCTTTATGAGATCTGTAAATTTTTACCTTTCCCCTCATTAAATAGTCCCAGGTAACTCAATACTGTCATTAAAGTTCTTCTCTCTACTACTCCTGTCTGTTGTTCCAAGTTACTTGATGTTCCTAGTTGAAAGAGTCCCCTTATCTTTATAACTTGTTGTTTCTAATCTGTTGTTTCTCACTTGCTGTTCTCTTTGCTGATAACAAAGTCTTTTTGTTAATAAATTTTCAGAGATTACCTATGTTGTCTCCATCGCATCTGCATAGATTAATATTTATTGCTTATTTAATTATAAATTTTTTCCTATCCAATTTGTATGTCTAGAGGAAAACTATGTTCCAGATAGTTTAGATTGATGAATGTTTACTTCCAGGTTACTACTGATAGTGATATCAGTAAATTAGAAGTGTTTTATGATAATAAATAGAAATTTAATGGTTGAATGAGCATTAAAAGTTTTGAAAATTTTTAGTGAAGTAAAAAATAGGGAAAACAATATGCTATAATTGGTACACAAAGTTTTATGGAACAATGGAAATATTAAGGCAGAGTAATATAGTATATAAAAATCTGTACAGTTTTATGCTATATGTTTCAAACAATGACAGATTACATATACTATGGTAGTCCCATAAGATTTTAAAGAGGTGCAGAGTTTTTTCACCTCATATTTTTACCGTACCTTTCCTATGTTTGGATACACAAGACCTATCACTGTGTCACAGTTGCCTCTAATACAGCAATATATGGAACAGGTTTGTAGCCCAGAGGAATAGCCTGTACAACCTGGTGTTTAGAAGGCTACACCATCCAGGTTTGTGTAAGTACAAAGGAATGTTGATTTGAAGATAGTGACAATTGCAAAATGTACATTAATCTGTTGTGCCCACTCTTGTATTTGTGGGGAAAATCATGAAATAGGCAGATACACTGTGATGATACAAGCACAATACAGGAAACCACATAAAACAAGCTAAAAAAGGGTCTTTTTGGTTTGTGTGCAAACACAAATTGTAGAATAGAAAGAGAGAGAGAGAGAAAGAAAAAAAGAAAGAAAGAAAAGAGAAAAGGGAAATTTTATATCATTATATAAATCACCTAGTAAGTAATATTGTACTTTTAGAAATATGAAATTTACAATCTGTAGCACTTATTTTTCATGGTACTGGGGATTGGGCATCTCTTAAAAGATCTTTTAAAGGCCAATAACCTTTTCTCCTTTATATTTCTCATTATTCTTGGTCTATCTTCTGATAAAATTAGATCATTTCTTAAAAGTAGCTAACTCATTTGAAAATAAGAAAGAGCTTTTATGTCTTTCTACCATTTGATGTTTAATTACCTATTTCATGCCATTGTATTTTCAGGCTTGACTGAGCTGAATGACAGTCCAATTCCTCCAGAACTTGAACGCTGTAAATCTCCCACCTCAGGTAAACATGAGTGGTATTTTTCAAGACTCTCATGATTCACTGCAGTGATTGCTGCTTTATTTTCATAATTCTTGTGATACAAAATTCATAGTTTTAGTAGTTATATTTCAGTTCGTAAATTTAACCATAAACAAATCTGATTTCAGAAATGAATAGAAATGCAGTGATACCTTGGTTGTTGAATTCACTTCATTCCAAATTCATGTTCAAACGCCAACATTTTGAGAAATGAACATGTTTTTCAATAAGAAATAATGAAAAACCAAATAATTGGTTCTGAGGGCCCAAAAATTGCACTTATAAATTCATTTTTCCAGGACTTTAATAAATTTCATAATGATTTCTTTCTTTAACTGTATCATAGGTCTCACGGTTTTTCTCCTAGCTTTATTACTGGTATCACTAAATTTCTTTGGAGCCATGGTTATAATATTTTATACAAATAAAATGGAAAAAAAAAGCACAATGATGAATGTTTTAATGCACTAACACAAGTACTGTACATATGTTGTCTGGATGAGGGCACCACTCAGACTGAAGTGTCACTCCTTTGTGTCCCTGGTGAGATGCAGAGCATGACTCACTCTCTCATACAGGTTTTTTCAAGTCAAATTTTTGGTTACAAACACTGGGCAGAGTTTTTTGAACTTTGCATTTTGAGTAGTAGAAAGTTTGAGCTTGGAGCCCTTTGACAACTGAGGTATTACTGTAAATGCTTTTCAAAATATTTGTTTGTTTGTTTGTTTGTTTGTTTTGAGGCAGGGCCTTGCTATGTCACCCAGGCTGGCCTTGAACTCACCATGTAGCCCAGCCTGACCTTGAACTCATGGCTCTTCTCCTGCCTCAGCCTCCAAAGTGCAGGGATTATAGGTGTGCACTACCACACCTGGCTAAAAATATTTCTGACCCCAAATTAAATTAAAGTCAGAAATCTAAGTGCAACAGTTTTAAGAGCTTTTTTTAAAAGGTTATTTTTTAGAAAAATTAATAATGCCTAATAAATATCAAATAAAATGAGTAATATTATACAAAAACTTTGTCATCTTGTAAATAGTAGAAAATATATAATATAGGTACAGGAGCTAATGTTACCATTCCTTTGGACTACCTTGAAACATTTATATTGTTTGACAAAGAAAGAAGCAATATATCATGTGAAATGAAACATCAAGATAAAATATACTTAAAAATGAGAAAAAAGATTCCTAGATATCTTTAATGTATGAAAAAAGTTAACAAAATTCTTTGGGTAATGGGATGGATTTTTGCTTACCTTTACAGTTTTATTTATCTGATTAGTCTGATTTTTTTATAATTAATTTTAGAACTGTATACATTTTTAAGCACCAAAAATATTAGATATATCTTTGATACTAAATGGTACATCTGTTTTATACAGGTAACAAAAGATTATAATAACTTTATATTTAATTAGTGTTTATTTAAAACATACAAATTTATAAAAAATTAATATGTTTGTAAAACATCAATTTAGACTTTTAGAAACTAATTTATAAGTAGGACATTTTTTCAATTTACTGCACCATTTAAAAGTTATTCATTCCTTATCCTTATTTTTCAGGAAACTAGGTTGTGTAGAACTTAGTTGTATCTTATGTAAATGTTTCTTTTAACCATATTTCAGTTCTTGTTTTGTTATTTTTATTCTAAAAACTACCTCATACATTTGCTCTTCCTTTTGCATTCTCATTGGTAACATTTAAAAATTTATCAACTCATACCAAGAGTATCAAAAAAATATTCTAGCTAGTATCCTTGCTTTCCAGACTCCCTTTTACAATCCATTTAACCTTTCCTATTGCAAAATTAATTTCCTTAAAATGTTTTTAAATCATATTTTCTCGTAGATAAAAATCTTTGATATAAAATATAATTCAGTATCCTATAGCACATTTATATAATTTCACCTTAAATTCTCATCCGCAATCTGAATTTGAATGGTAATATATTTACCTAGTTGAAACATCAAAAAAATTGAGTAGAACTGTCTTTCCCATTATCTCCCCACACATTATTTCTCTCCTCCTGAAAAATAACACTGTTATTAGTTTCTTCTTTATCTATCTAGGCAACTTGCATTTGTAAGTAAACTAAAAAATAATCTATTTAACTTCTTATTTTATTCACTCTGCTATAATGTGCTTGTCTCACTTTACATTGTAGCTTGTCTTTCAGTTTCATTACATTCAGCACTTCTGTGTTCTTTTTTGTAGTTATATGATGCTGAATTACATGTATGCACTATCATTTAGTCAGTTGACCTGTTAAAAGGTATTTAGTTTACTATTGGCCTTCTGCTATTATAAACAATGGTGTGGTGACAGCCTTGGCATAGACCTCATTTCAAATACATATAAGTACCTATATGAGATGAATTCCTAGAATTAGAGTTTCCAAGTACGCTTGTCTAATTTTTATAGATACTTCCAAATTGCTGTCCTTAAGATTTGCAAGATTTTTATCCTAGCAATAATATGTAATTATTGGTGATCACTTTTTAAAATGTTTGCACATCTAATATATAAAAAGGATATGTCAGTGTTACTACAGTTTACCTTTTTACATACTGCAAGTGATGTTGAACACCTTTTTATATGTTTAAGAACTCTTGAAATCTTTTTTCTGTAAATCATCCATGCATTAGTTTGTCCATTTTCTATGGGATTATTTGTCCTTTTTAATATCAATTTTTGTACCTTTTCATAAATTAAGGAGAGTATCTCATTGTGACATGTAATCTGAATATTTTTCTCAATTTAACCTTTAACTTTGTGACATCTTCTCCTTGAGAAGTATTCGTAACCAGACATTGGTCTTTACTTTTAAGATACTTTATGCCCAATAGTTTGAATACTATTGGGCTTATTCAGTATTCGGGTAACACCCCTCAATGAAGTCAATTACCCCTTGTAATTTTATTTTCTACACCTCTCTTTTCTCTCTGAAGAAAAATAATTTCATTATAGAAATTTTGCAAACATATAAAAGCTGAGACTATATTTTCCTTTAATTTGGCTGACAGTTGATATATTTTAATTTTTGTGTGCCTCAAACAATAGCTTTTACATTTTATTTTTAACATTAACTTCTGATCTTATCTTTATTAGTTCTTTCATTTGGTATATCGTATTTTTCTTTTTTAACTTTTGTGTCATATGGTTAATCTTTTTGCTTTGTCTTTCTTACATGTTTGTATAAGAATCCAATGCTAAATTTCCCTTGGAAGTCTTCATTAAATGTATCACATAGTTTTTCATAATTTATATTTTTTGGCCCAAGAGTTATTTAAGATAAACGTAGCATTAAGTAGCAGGAAGTGTTACTTTAATATTTTCATGTCACTAAGTATATTCTGATTACTTGGCCTGTCACAAATGGATAACAGGTGAATTAAAATATAGTACTACTTATGTGTATTTCTATTTACTTATCTACTGTGTTTTTATCTTCAAAGACATTTATTCTACCTTATTTTATGTGTGGATATTCAAAAGTAGATTTACATTTTAAGGTACAACTTTATCATTAGTAATCATTGTTTATTTCATATTGTACTATTTTACTTCAATGCCCCCTGTTCACTATAACTACAACAACTCTTGTTTCTCTAGTTTACAATGTTCTGGAATACTACCTTTTTGGGTATATAATTTCTATTCAGGTATAAATACAAATCTCAAGTAAGCACATCCTAAGAGTTCAGCTAGGTTAGTTTTACAGATGAACACACCACAAAATAATACCAGATAGAGTCTCAGAAACCTCCCTTATATTACCTCTTGACACTAGCCTCCACAAAGGTGCCTATTATCACAGCAGATTGTTATGGGAATTTATTGCTATAAGCTAGTATTGTGGGACTCTTGTATGAAAGGAATTGTAAAGTATTTATTTTTCTTGTTTCTTATTTCACTCAACAAATTGTATGTTTATATATCTACATATATATATGTAATATTCACCTATGTTGTTGTGTGGTATACATTGCTATATAATATTTCATTATGTGAATATGCCTTATTTTTTATGCAATTCATTTTTGTTGGGCATTTAGATAGTTTTCAGCTTGGGGCTGTTATAAATAAAGCTGATATAACCATACTTGTACATTTTAATACAATATAAACTCATTTTGCTTGTGTATATGTATATGGGAGTGGAATTTGAGGCATATAGGGCATGCAAATTTTCTGCTTTAGTAAATACTACCAAGGAATTTTCTAAAATAGTTGTGGCAATTTTTCTTCCAATTGCAATGTTTTAGAGTTATGTTCTTCCCATATACTTGCCACTGTTTAATATTCTGGTATTTTTTAAAGTGCAGTCATTTTAGAGTATATGTAGAAATATCTCACTGTGAAATTAAGTTGAATTACATATTTCCTGATGTCTAATGATAGTGAATTTCTGAAGTGTATTGCCTATTGATATCCTTTTTTATATTTAACTCTTTTGGTAACTTAGTTACCAAGATTTTCTTATTTATTTTTTATTTATAGAAGTCGTGTGTGTGTGTGTGTGTGTGTGTGTGTGTGTTGGATAGAAGTCTTCTGTTGAGATTCTTTAAATTCTCATCTAATTGAATTTACTAATCTTATTTTATTGTTAATGGTTTATATGTTTTGTTTAAAGAGTGTCTTTGTCTATCCCAAGGTCATTAAGCTCTATTTCTGTATCATCTTCTGGAAACCTATTGTTTTACCTCTCATATTTAAGTTAAATTTCCATTTGAAATTTATTTCTGTATATAGTGTAAGGAAGGTGCTAAGGTAATTGATAAGCTCCAGCTAGAGGGAAATTACAACCGCCCTCACTGCATTAAAGTGGAACATTTGTCATAAATTAGTGGAATTTATTACGTGTGTGGGTGTATATGTGTGTTTATATGTTCCATTTGACTGGCATGTTTATTATCATTTATTCAAACCATACTGCTTTGATTTGCAAGTTTATAAATTTTTATCTGAGTGTAATTTCTTCAATTTTGTTTTTGTGGTTCTCTTTCAACATTATTATAGCTATTCTAGGTTTTTGTATCTCCACATAACTGAGAAAAATTTACCAATTCACATATAAACATGCTAAGATGTTGACTGCAGCTTCATGAGATCTTTGGATCAGTTCAACATAATATTCAACCATACTGAATTTTCCCTTTAGTGTCACTTATTTATATGTGTACATCATCTCAGTAATGTTCTCAGTTTTCTTTTTAGAAGTCTTGTGCATCTTTCATTAGGTTTATCCCTCTATATTTGGTCTTTAATCCATTATTGTATTATTTTGCATTTTTTCTAATTGTTCATGGCTAGAATATAAAAATGCTATTTTTAAATATTGAATTTACCGCCTGCCTGGCAAGTGCAAGGTCGTGAGTTCGGTTCCTGGTACCGGAGAAAAACCAAAAAAACAAACAAACAAAAAAAAATATTGAATTTACATGTAGCAAACTTCCTAAATGTATTTGTTAATTCTACTAGTTTATAAATTCTTCTGGATTATCTATGTATCTAATTATGTCCCCAGTAATATAACAGTTCTATTTCTTCTTTCTAAAGGAAGATATTAGATAAGCTGTCATACTCACTATATTGAAGAGATGTGGTGTCAGCAACATATTTTCTATGTTCTCTATCTCAAGGATAAGGCCTTAAATATTTAATAATTAATTACAATAATTATTGAAGTGGTTTTTGGTAGATACCCTCCTTTTAGCCTTGGCTGATGATGTTTCATTAAGGTTAAAGAAGATCTAGAAACACTATCTCCATGACATGTGTTTTTTTTTTCAAGGCAAACTCAGAAGATTTTGCATGCAATTAAATAACATGATTCAAAGTAGGACAGTTTTAATGACTTTCATATTGTTACTTGGAGCAAAAATGATGTACTGTGATCAGATTCGTTTATCACTTTAATACTAATGAGATCAATTACTATGTTTCTAGGTTTTTAAATGTATAAGTAATATATAAGACCTAATACTATTCTTGCTTTCTCTCACTTCCTTTTTAATTTTTTCCCTTGTGCAGTGGTTCTCAAACTAAAGCCTGCATCATAATTAGATGAACGGTGTTAAAGCACAGCGTTAATACCCACTAAAATGGAGTACCAGAGATTCTTATTCCCTAGATCTGGAATAAGAGCTGAGATTTTACATTTCTTGTAAGATCTAGATGCTGTTAATGTTTCTCATTTCTGGACCTCTTGAGAACCATTGCTCTATGAAATATCTTTTTGGAGACTTTATTCTTTCATCCCTTTAAATCTGCTAAAAAAAAAATCAGGTGAAAATATTGGTACAGTGTCTCTGAATAAGAGACATCAGGAATTAGGAAAGCCAGGGACAAGAAATAATTTTAAACCTCTCATTTTCTATATGGATCTCAAACTCATAGAAAAATACAGAATGAAAAAGTTGAGACTAGTAAATATTTCCTTAAATATAATGAAAGTACAGAATAGAAATTGAGAGTTGAAGAACCCAGAGAGCTAACCAGAATGCCATTATACTCAACTTTCAGGATAATATGGTATTTTCATATTATTTGTTCAACTATTCAACAAATAATTTTCATTTTCTACAGTTATACATTATACTATTTACAGAGGATTAATGAAAAATAAATATATTTTATCACTAATGAAATGTATAGTATACTTGAAGAAATAAACATAACACTAATAATTCTAAAAGTTGTTAATACTTTTTTGAGCTATGCAGTGCTTTTCTGTTCATCAGGTAAGATTGTGCAATTTATCTCCTCTACAGATTCACCTTCTAAGAGGTTGAGCAGATATTAACATTTAGCTAGCATAGAATTTAAATTCCCTAAATAAAACTGCTCCTTTTTTTGAAGAAAGATTTGCAAATACATGAAACCTTCAGCTGTGTATGCTCAGAAGCTGTGCCTTTCTAATCCTTTGCACCAAAGACCATGTTTCTGTAAGTTAGCATCAGTAGCCATCACCCTCACAATCCTCTCTGACTATAACCTACAACATGCTTATGTTCAAGTGAAGGCTAAGATGATATAAATATTTATCTTTATTAAAGATATCTTTATTTAAATATCATAGAGGTTAATATTACAAAATATTAACAAGGAATACCCAACTCTGTTGTACTGAGGCTTAGGCTAGAGTTGATCTTTTTTTTTTTTTTTTTTTTTTTTTTTTCTCCGGTACTGGGAACCGAACTCACGACCTTGCGCTTGCCAGGCAGGCGCTTTGCCGCTGAGCTAAATCCCCAGCCCCAGCTAGGGATCATGTTTTGAATACTTCTTCTGGGAAGTCCTGTATGCCTAAAATCCTATTAGTGTATCCCTCAAAAAGCTTTGTTTTTCCTTCCAAACAGTTCTCTGTTGTAGCAGTCCTTACATTTAGTTCATATAAAGACACAAAATACAGTCTTTTCTGTATCATTATTATGATATTTACCTTTAAGGTAAAGTTCCTGGTTTGCTTGGACTAAGAAATTACATGCCAATAGTTTTGTATTCCCTCCCTTTAGGACTTTCTACCAGAACTCCTGAGGCAGCACCAGGCTTTTATAGGAATGACACACCAGGTGTGAGACAGAGGAATCAAGTGCATCACTTGCCAGGTGAAGGTGAAAATCTTTTCTTGTGAATAAGCAAATTATTCATATCTTTACAATCTTCCAGCCTTCATGATTTGTCTCAACACTTTGTTCACATTTGTTGTAGTGAAAAATGTAGGTCTCTCATGATAAATGAGGACAAATTTCCCTGCAACAGTTATTAAAACCAGAGGCATTGATTTTATCATATATAAACATATAAAATTCTGAAGGCTTTTGTGAATATTTTTAAATGTTCCACAGAATTTTAATAGATTTTTTTTAATTTAAACCTGCATGGTTTCATCAAGCTTAAAGAAAATAAGGAGAATGACCAGTGAATTCAGAGAAAAGCTCAGAAGCCAAAAGTAATGAGTTTTATAAAATTATCTGTAATTCATCATAATTAATGAACTATTTTCTATTATCAGCAACAACCATGTTGATCATGGACATTCTACCATAAAGTTGTCCCTTTGGAAGGATCTATAATAAATAATCAATTTTATGCTGCTTATAGGAACCCAGCAGACTCAAACACAGCCTCTTTGATAATTAGGCATTCATTGAAAAATAACTGGCCAAATTTGCAGCTCCAAGGAATTATCAATGTTATAGACCTCAACTAAAGTCAGTAGCCAATGAAGATAAAACAACCGTTAAAATTCTCCAAGCAGTAGGGTTTTTTTTCTTATATAATATAGTGCCCCTGAATGGTAACTTTGTCTGATGAGAAAACTGCAAAGCTCAGAGTATTTAAGTGAGTAGAGGTAGAATTCCAAGTTAGTTATATTTAGTTGTAAAACACGCTTTTTCACTGATGTTCATCATTAAATGAGAAAAGATCATAATCACAATGAAAATTTTATGATATGTGAGCCATGACACAGTAAAAAGTAGCTGAGTTATAAAGAGACAGTGACCTAGCAAATAAATTCAAAAGAAATAAGAAATATAATTTGCATAAAACATTAGAAGAAAATAGTTTACCACTTTAAGTTTCAGCAAAAACTGATTTTGAAATAATTCCAGTTTTATGGTTCATGTACCCAACAGCATTATTATTATCACATTTTGAATTTATTAAGCTTTGCACGCTAATATTGTAACTTATAAATGTGTAATACGTTATAGCAAACAAAGTATTTTTCATGTTTTCTTATGTAATTCCTAAAGCAACACTAAAGGGTAGTATTATTCTCAGGTTATGTGGATAGAAAATTTATCGCTAAGAGAAAAATTCTATGACTTGTCCAAGATTACCCTGCTAATAATGACTTTGTCAGAATTTAAATCTTTCAGGCTCCAAGGTTCTCTGATTTTTTTGGCCTAGATTATTTGGCACCAAATTGTTTGACCTTCTATAACTTTTTAAAAGTGGATTAAAAACAATTATCTCTGGAAGTTCATAATTCAAGAGAGAAAAAACTAAACAGAAGTAATGCTTCATGGCTACTGAACAAGTACACAACATTAGTAGTCATTGATTTATTAGCATTATTAACTAAAACTACAAAGCATGTTTTGGGGTAAAGGAGGAGTCCTGACATTAAACATTTTTATGCTCAGGTAAATCCTAGTGCCAATACTTTATTGCCTGGCTGCATCTTCACCATTTCTGGAGAAAAATTAAAAGGAATGGCAACAAAATTAGAAGTGTGTAGGCTTTTCATGCTTCTAGCATGGCATAGTGACCCTAAGATGTTTGTATTTTTTTTAACTTTAACTACACACATATCAAGTGTTTCGTCCTTAGTTTCTGGTTTAGGAAAATAAAATTCATTACTATACTCCAACCAATCAATTAGTTAATCAACAAATATATAAGTCATAGATTAGTTTTTCAGAACTTTTAATCAAAACAACTTTTAATTTCATATCAGACTTATTTATTGTAAAGAAGACAAGTAGACCAAGAAAGTGGCATCTCTTATGTCAGGCAGCTTGTGATGCTTAATGTAAAGGACAAAGCTTCAAAGTCAGAAAACTTTGACCTTTTTCCAGTCACTTTCTATCATTGTAACTTTAGTAAATTTCCTAATCTTAAGCATTTGCTAGTGTTCAGAGATAAATCCCGAATTATAGAAAGTTATTAGCATCCATCACCTACAGATACTGAGTTTGGTCTCCCTGAGCATTCTAGATTTCCAAGTATTAGTTGTAGCTGAGCCACAACAAAGTAAAAATCCTGTTGTATAAAGGGAAGTAAGAGTGCTACGTAGTTCTATGAATTATTGTAATGCAGCACTACTCCCCCTATAACTGCCACCTTCTATTCATGAGAAAAATGGAAGATCAAAGGTTATGAGAAGGGGCTGGGGATTTAGCTCAGCGGCAAAGCGCCTGCCTGGCAAGCGCAAGGTCGTGAGTTCAGTTCCTGGTACCGGAGAAAAACCAAAAAAAAAAGATATGTAGAGGTTATGAGGGAAAATTTTTAATTAATCACCAAAGGATACAAAAGACCTATTAACTTGAAAAAACTCTAATCATAATCACTTTTTGAAAAACCAGCAAAGTGCTATCTATATCAATATATTTACCTATATCTGCTTCTATATTCATATCTCTATATAGTTGAAGAACTAAGGACAATAAAACTTCTTTTATATGGAATATCTGAAGTGTACTTCATGAAGTGCTTCTCATAGAATGGCTCTGTAGATTGGTTAATATTCACGAAACTTTAAAACATTGGTCCTTAAAATGTGCTCTGAAAACTTCTTGATATCAGTGTCACTTACAACACTTCTTAAAATGCAAATTCCTGTTGAACCGAGAGTACCTAGAGGTGAAAACAAGTCTCTCCAAGTGCTTTGAGAGCTGATATATGAGAGCAGGAATCCATTACTCTTCATTGCCCCAAATGTTAGGAATGGGACAATTTGGTAAATAATAAAGAAAAGTAGTTTGAGCTGGAATGTAAGGAAATCTCATAGACATTACAGCAACTCAAAACTGGGATTTTTTTTAAAGGTTTCTAGCATGGAATTAATCAAACAGAATATTAAGAATGTTGTAGGAGAAAAACTTATATTGCATAGGCTATTGGACTAGGTGACTTCTAAGATGCCTTTGAGCCAGGAATGCTTCCTCCCTGTGCAGACAGCTAACCCAATGAATAGGAAAAAATGCTGTTTCCATTTTCCCTCCTTTGGCTAATATTATAAAATGAGAGTAGTGAGTATGGTTCAGTTTAAATAGCTGTAGAAAATGAAGAAATTTAGAAAGCTGCATTCCCTTTGGCATACTGCAAACATTTCCTTCTATTCAAGCTCAATCTACTTTCCTTTACCACTTATTGTCTCAGTTTTAACCTCTAGAGCAATGAAGAATAACTGATTATTGCTCTCATTACCAGATCCTAAAAGACCTGAAGAACCAGGTGCAGTGACACACACCTGTAATCCCAGTACTCAGGAGGCTGAGGCAGGAAGCTCACCACAAGTTCAAGGCCAGCCTGGGCTACATAGTGGGCTCAAGTCCAGCCTGAACAGCATAGTGAGATCTGGTTTCAGAAAACAAAAGCAAAAAAAAAAAGACCTGAAGAGATCATGCCATTTCTAGGCACTAAGCATTAAGAAATATCCCAAATACATTTCTAATACTAGTTGCTTCTTACTCTCTAACACTTTAACACATTTTTTTAATTTGCTCAGCTTTGTTTAGAGAGACTCATTGTAACTTTCTGACTTCCTTCCTCAACATTCATTCAGCAGACATTCATTGCATACCTACTCTGCCAGTATGTACTTGACAAGGTTCTAGAAATGCGCTCCCTTTCTCTGGAAAAGTCAAAATATGAGAATTTTAGGGCATAATAGAATTAAAAAGTCTGGTACAATAAAATGTATTACGTTGTATGCACGGGTGCTATGGAAGTTAGAGAAAACTACCAAATCAGTCTTTAAGTTCAGGAATGCCTTCAGAAAGAGAATAATCTTTGAGCTGTTCTAAAGGATGAGCAGAGCTTTACTAAACAGACAGCTGAGACAAAGGAATAATTCGTACAAACCTTCCTTTTCAATGAACTAAGAGAAATTAGTAGTATAATGATCATAACTATCTTGTGTGTGTGCATGTGTGTGTGTGTGTGTGTGTGTGTCTGTGTGTGTATGTGTATTGCTTTTCCTTTCTTTTCTCCTTTCCCCCATCCCAGTTTCTCTTTCCTTTTGAGCAATGTCTTCCCATTTTACAATATCTACTGTATAGTTTGGATCTTATTTGCTCTTTCAGTTTCTCACAGTAGGGAGACAATATGATGTTTACACATGTGAGTCTGGTTTATTTCACTTATGAGTATAGTCTCAAATTAAAAGTCTCAAAATTCATATGTCTTGTACTCTGAGTAACTAATTTAAAGATAATAATACCCAGTGTATTAACCATTATTACGCTCTTACTTTGTTTTGAAATTTTTACTCTTTTTCTCTTTAAAACAAAATTTTTGAAATAGGAATAATTTGTACATAAATAAAAGGCCTTTCATTAGCATTGTTATTAATGAAGTATTCTAACTGATCCTACCATCTTAGTCATTCTCTTTCCCTCCCCCAGTTACACAATTGAAGATGAGATCTGAGAGTGATTCTAATTTTTATGTGGGAAAGAAGTTTCCAGGAGGATGAAAACATAGGTGGTAAACTGGAGGAGAGGATGGGAATTCCAAACACATCAGCAAATTTGAGAATCAGAATGAAATGTGGGATGTGAATTTTCCATCACAAAGAATAGTTGGGAATGAGAAAACACCTGTCATTGCAGTCATATTCTGCTGTGTGAATCTGGGCTCAGGAAAGGCACTAGTTTTCCTTCATTTTGAAAGCATCGAATTATTTTCATTTTGGAGACAACTAACACTATGTAGATATAAAGACCTTATTAAAAACAAGATGAAAATCATTAAAAAGATACATTAGAGGAAAATTTATTATAATGAGATGAATTCATCCCATAATGAAAGATTATTTTAAACAAAGAGCACTACCTCTTCAGTCTATCTAAATTATAAATCACCTTACAAAAAT